ATCAGCCATTCTCCAGGAGAGGAGGTGATGGGGCCAGGCAGCCTTGCTCCCCAGAACTTGTCCCGACGAGAGCCCAGCCTGAAGCTAGGTCACCAGTTCTTTCCCACACACCCCCAGGAGGAGAATTACAGACTGAGACCGCTTCCAAGGCCCACAGATACCTGTACAAGGGCCAAAGCACGGCACACATTGGAATGTTTTTTCTAGAAACGCCTTCTCCTGGGAGAGGAACCTGGATGTACCCACTGCTCGGAGCAACCGGGGAAGTCCTGGCATCACCTAGAACAACCAAACAGCGGTTAGGGCTGATTGTGTACACGCACACACACATATAACGGGTTGTTCTGATCCTATGGAAGTTTTATCAGGAGGAGGGGCAGGAGGAAGTTCCTGTTTGGGAAGGGGTGAGTGTCTGATGATGATGCTTGGTGACAGTGACGGGTGACGGTTGTTGGTTCGAATCCACCTAGAAGCAGCTTGGAAGGCAAGACAGGGGTCTAAATGGACTTGACACTATCTGACAACGACAAAGCTGACTTGGCAAATGTTGCTTCTCAAGCTCCCCGAAACACCACACAATACCCCACAAGCAACGCAACACCTGCACACACAGCCATATGCACCCAACACCACAACAAACCCAACAGCATACATGCAACACCTACACACACACTACCCAGCATGCACAACACAACAGAAACACAATACACACAAGATAACACAAACACAATACAACAAACCCACTGTACACAACTCAAACAACGCATACACACAGACACCAACACAACACTACAACACAGCACACATGCACCACAGCACACAACACCAAATACGCACGCGCACACACCCACAGCCTATGAGAGGACAGACCTTTTTGCCCCCACCTCACTGCAGCCTGGCTGCCCCCACAGCACTATACCAGTGGGACCTGATGCCTGGCCTACTGGAGAGGAGGGAGGAAGCTGTGTTTTGGTTCGTTTTCAAATTCAATGTAGCAAAGAGAATTTTGTGTGTGCCGCATGGCTGGTTCTTTTCCTGCACAAATCACTCACACTGTGAGAGTGCATCTTTCGATCTATAAGGATCACTGTCAGGGCCGTGTGGCGCCTACCATGCCGAGGCGAATGGGCACAGCGGGGCATGTTCAGGCCCGGCGGCACAGGAAGCGTCTGAGAGGGCAGTGGCGTTCAGAGGCAGGCCTGGGCTGGAGAGTAGTTGAAATTATTCGAAACAGAGTCCATATGGGCGAACCTATCTAAAGTCAGAGGGTTTCTTCTGCATCGGGGCCTGAGGCACTGGCCAGGGGATGCTCAGGGGCGGCAAATAGCTGTTCACACGGAACAAAAATGCCCAGTGGTTTTCTGCCAACCACCGTCTGCTTTGAAGCTGGAGTGTTACAACAGCAGAGCCAGTGATAGGTCTGCGGGCATCCGTGAGGGCGGGCCCTGGGAAAGCCAGGGCTCGTGGATAGGGAGACTGAGCTCCACATTGGACCCAGCGGGCCAGCCTGAGCACTCCTGCCATCTCCTGTCTTCATCTGCTAGAGAGCTGGGGCCTTTATGGACTTGAGGCCAGGGGGACTCCTGGTCAGCAAGTGTGATCAGTACCCCCCTGCCCACTACCTTCCCAAGTGTGCCCACCCCGGGAGCTGGGCTCGGCTCCCTCAGGCTGAATAAAGGGCCCGTCTCCTCACTGGTCCATACCGAGCGCCTGGCTCTCTCCCTGCCCCCACAGCGTCTGGCACACGCCTGCTGTCCCAGGGTGACCGTGGCAGCAGGAAGGGGCCAAACTAAACCAGTAACTCCACCTTTGGTCAGTTTGCATCACGATAGAATGATGGTGAGACCCAAGGTCCGCATCATGTGGGAGTCACTGGAATTTACATTGGACTTCAGGAGACCAGGACCCCATTAGTGTGTGTGTGTGTGTGTGTGTTTGGGGGGGGGGGGCAATTTCTAGAAAGGTGTTCTCTTTAAAGATACGTTGTTTCCGCCCTCAAAGGCAGCAGCAGGAAGGAAGGGCAGTGCTTCTCCTTAAAGTCTCTGCTCCTCCTCCAGGCAGCGTTCCCTGGTTATCATCCATGTCTGTTTCCCTCGCCATTGATTTCCCTTTCAGTAGCTACTGACCAACTGGTGAGTGACCGAAACAAGAAAGCGGATCCTTCTTAAAAACCCAGCGCCCTGTGAATTAGCCCTGGCGCTCCTGCCTGCAAACCTTCCCAGAGTCCTCAATGCCAGGCCTGCACGTAGCCCAGGCCCCTGAACCCCAGCCCAGAGCAGAGATCAGTACAAGACTGAGAACCAGACTGGATGGCCGTGTTAAGCTCCGAGTCAGGGTGGCTCTGTACACTGCCCGGTCCTGCACAATCCTCACAGTTGTTACGGTGTAGCCCACTGCCGTGTCGATCCATCTCCTTGAAGGTCTTCCTCCTCTTCCCCACTCTTCCATTTTCCAAGCCTGGTATTCCTCCCCAGGAGGAATCAGCCCCTCCCGATAACAAGTCCACAGACCATGAGAAGCGGTCTCGCCGTCCTGCCTTCTAAGGAGTATTCTGATTGGGCGTCTTCCAAGACAGATTTGCTTGTTCCTCAGGTGGTCCACGGTATTTTCCAGATCCGTCGCCAGCATATTAACACGCGTGCCCAGTCTTCTGTGGTCTCCCTTGTTTCTCGTCGAGCTCTGCCACACAGATGTGGGTAGGAATTCCCTTAGCATGAAGCGAGGGATGATGTGTGGGGTGGCTGTCTACCTGCACAGTGCACAAATGACTGTCAGGTGCTAACATGGGTGGTCCCCCATCCGGGACATCCTCCAGATGAGACAAGCCCCACTTGGCACCATCCCGTCCTTTGGGATGTGTTTCAGCCAGGGCTGCAGCGTGCTGATGTCTCCACATCTGTGTTTTCATGTCATGCCCCTAACCGCTACAACAGCGGAGGGGCTGTACAACCATTTTTAAAAACAGGCACACAGTCACCGGAACAGACCCCGTCTGCCGTTAGCCAGGGACTGCCACGTCTGCGCTCTGGCTCATCCGTGCCTCCGAGTAACAGGGACTCGGGCCTACACCGTCTGCACCCGCCAGCTTGGAGTCACTAAGGACCTCCATTTTACATCCCGGCAACAAGGGGGGGCCAGGGCAGGGCAGAGATCGGGGGTCCTTTGCAGATATTTTTTCTCCCTGTTTTCTTAAATCAGGTAAAAACCAAAATCCCAGAGCAATCAAGTCGATTCCAACTCCACCCACCCCCAGACCCATGTAGGGGCCCCAAGGCTGCCAGCCTCCTCGGGAGCAGACAGTCTGGTCTTTCTGGGTTCAAACTGCCGACCTTGCTGGGAGCAGCTTTACATGACAGAGTCAGATGAACACAATGCCTTTCTCTTAGCTCCTCAGTCCCATCGGGGTGATTATCCATGTGCTGCAATCATGACGCCTGGCCCTAAAAGGCTCCCCGGTGCACAGTGGTTGCGTTGGGCTGCGATCCCCGAGGTCTGCAGCTTGAAGCCCCCCGCTGCTGCACAGAAGAAAGGGGGCTTTCTGTTCCCGAAAGCAGTCACCGTGTCTGAAATTCGCATGGGCGTCTCCTTAGAGCGTGAGCTTCCAAAACTGCACCTCTCGACGGGAGTAGAAAACGCCGTCTTTTTCCCGAGGAGAGAGGCTGGTGGTTTTGAACCACTAACGTGCCCAACATGTATGTCACCCAACATGCCACCAGGGCTCCTCCTGCTGGAGACTGGGGGGGGGGGGGGGGGGGGGGGCAAAGGTTGGACATTATTCGACGGGCCTGTAACTAGCCAGCGAGCTCCACTGGGCTGCCCCGCATGGGCTCTGATGAGGCCGCTCTCTCGGCCCAGTGGCTGCCTGCCCTTCACGTCTGTTTGTCTGTCCTCTTCTGAGCTGGTGAGCTTGCTGGGTTAAGGCCTCCACAAAGCCCACAAGGCCCACCGCCTTCATCCTTATCTCTTTGATTTGATTGCTATCATGCTGTTCTTAGAAGGCCACCTACTGGGGTTTTGCCCTTTGTTTTTGTGTGGGTGGAAGGGTTTTCCTGCCACATGGGGCTGTGGCCCTTCTCTCGCGTCATCCACGGAGCCCTCTGAGGGGTGGGTTGTTATCAAGATGAGCCCCGTCACTCCTCTGGAATCAAACAAAATCGGCTCCGATGCTGAGGCTGGTGACTGAGCCTCCTGTGGGCCCTTGTGTGGCTCTACTCAAGTTTCTGCAACAACGCAGTTCTCCACCAAGGGAGCCCTGGCAGCGGCGTGGTTACGAGCCCGAGCCGGGATGCAGTCCCCAAGGGCTGCAGTTCAGAACCACCATCCTTTCCCTGGGAGAAAAGTGGGGCTTTCTACTCACCTGAACAGTTACAGTCTCAAAAACCCACAAGGGCGGTGAGTTCTAGCCCCATAGGGTCACTTGGAGTCCGCGTTGCCCGGATGGCAGGAAGTCTGGGTCTGATTCCCAACAACAAAATGGGCAGAGTGACTCTTTCATTGGGTGGGAAGCAGGCGTGCCGTGCATTTTCTTACTGAACACGGTGCCCAGACGTTGCAGACGGTGGCTGTGGACTAGGAGTCCCACCCCACCCCTGCTGTCTTTGCCCGGAGAGCAGAGCTGTGAGTTATCCCAAGCTGCAGAACCCCCCGCTCGCTCTCCAGGCCCAGGGCGTGAACACACACTGCCCATAGGGCAGCCCTGCCACCGGCCTCCCAAGAATCAGCCTTGTAAGCCCTGCCCCCTATCGCTGGGGTCCCACTGAGAGTCAGGGTGCATTTGTCACGTGGTGCGGCCTTGAGCCGTGCCCACGGACAGTATGAGGTTTTAAAAAAACCTACCCGAAAGATGAGGTTGTGGATCCAGGCGCAGAGGAGAGCGGGCAACTCACAGGCGTCCTCCGGTCAGTGGCAGCTGGCCTGCGTGAAAAGAGGGCTACCTGGAGGGCGGCCGTGCCCGGAGCTGAGGCTCATGTTTCCTCTTTCCTCTCCCGCTCGCTCTGCAGTGAACAGAGTATCTGCCAAGCTCGGGCCTCTGTGATGGTCTACGATGACAGCAGTAAGAAATGGGTGCCCATCAAACCCGGCCAGCAGGGCTTCAGCCGCATCAACATCTACCACAACACTGCCAGCAACACCTTCAGAGTCGTGGGCGTCAAGCTACAGGATCAGCAGGTGCGTGCGGGGTTTTGGAGGGAACTCGGGCGGGCGGCACTCACGCACACACATGAGCGCACGTACACACTGCCCTCCAGTCCATGCTGACTCGCGGCGACCCTATAGAACCCGGTAGAACTGCCCCTGTGCGTTCCCGAGACTGAGGCTCTTTGCGGGAGTAGCACGCCCATCTTGCCCCCTTGGAGCGACTGGTGGTATGGAACTGCTGGCCTTGTGGTTAGCAGTCCAACACGTCACCTCAATGCCACCAGGGCTCCTCCTGCACACAGAGCGAAAAGAGATCAGAAGCAAGCAGGCATCCAGATGTGGAGTCAGAGGACCCGAGTTCGAATCCTGATGAGAGGCCTGAGTAGGAATGAGCCTTCTGGTCTGCAGCTGCCCCCTCAGGCAGCAAGCACACCCTGCCTGCCTCTTGCAGGGTTGTCTTCAGAATAGAGCGAGGGCTGTAGGGAACAGCTGCCAAACACCCTGGTGTGCTGGTCTCAGTCTACACCCCCGAATCTCCAGGTGATGGCCCTGGGGAGAATGTTGGTCTGTCTGCTCGTGGCCCTCCTTTGGAAGAGTTGTCAAGCTGGACATGAAGACCCTGGGGCCGCTGACCTCCCAGATAGTACGTCCCGGAAAAAGCAGATGAGACGTCTGGTCCACACCTGTGAGACTAGGAGACAACAGCTGTGCCCAACCCTACCAGGAGTAGCTGTCCACACACAACTGAGGCAGGGTTGTGTGGTGCGACCGGAAGAAGAGGTTGTCTGGCTGAGCCACAGTGACCTCGGGGAGCCCTTTAGGGAGTGTCTCGGTGACTAGCAAGGACCCTTTTTAGCGGGCCTGTGGTTTCAGACGTCCTCAAACGGCAGCCTCTGGCGGCCTGTGCTGGTCAAGCCTGGGCTCCATGGAGGAGCAGCACGAGGGGCCACCATCACTGCGCGAATCCGCGTGTTAGCAATTAGAAAAGAGGAGAGGACTCCAGGCTCTCCTGTCCCAGGAGCGGTGCCAGTGGAATGGGTTGCTGCTCTGGTGAAAACAACCCCTACTGGGCTTCAGACTCTTGTGGCCAAAAAGGGATGTCTCTCCTTATCGTCGGGACCCTGGACGGAGTGTGTATGGTCTGAACACCAAGCCCCGGCACCTCCAAAGACGAGCGGGCACAGGTTTCCTCCCAGTCGGCGTGGGCCACAAGGGCAAACATTGGAAGAGAGACCATGCGTTGGTGCCTTTCCCTTGTTAGCAAGCCCTGATGGAAGGAAGGGGTTTCTAGAAGCCCATAGAAGGCGGCTTCCTGGTCTTCCAGGTCACTGGTTTTAGACCTGCGTTTCAGAAAAGCTGGCTGCACCTTGCAGAATACGCTGTCTCCTTGGAGTACTGGTGGCGTAGTGGGGAAGCTTTGGGCTGCCCACCACCAGGTCAGCAGATGGAAACCAGCAGCCCGTCTAAGGGAGAAAGAGGAGACTGCCTACTCCCACAGAGAGTTACAGCCCAGGAAACCCACAGGGGCAGGTCTTCCCTGCCCTGTAGAGTGACTACGAGTCGGACTAGACTCAATGGCAGCGAGTACTGCTTGGGATTTTAGTTTTAGCCCCCAATGACAGTCAACCAGAGCCACCTTGTGGATGTCCAGAATACCCCAGGGGTGACCCTACCTGTGCCAGGATAAACCTGCGCTTTGCCTCAGGGAGCCTCGCCACCCACTGCCTCCTTTAAAGGAAACCACCTGTTGAGCTCGCTTGGGGAGGGGCCTTTCTCCCCACCCAGGGTGGGTGTTGGGAATCTGCCGGCACCTTTTGAGCCATCTTAAATCCATGTGAATTCTGATGGAGAGGTCTTGAGTTGGCTGAAGAGTTGAGACCACAGCCTTCCGGCAGGGACTACATATTCAAGAGGCAGGATACATGTGTTTTATCTCTCATCTCCTCTACCCTGGTGCCCCCCCCCCTCCCCCCCAACACAGACACATAAACACAACCCCTCAGATGGGCAGGGATATGAGCTGGGAGCATACAAGAGATTTTATATTAGAGAGGAGGGCTGACAGAACATCTGGTCTGTAATAGCTTTTAGGAAATGACCTACACGGGTCTGTTCCAGTCCCAGGAGCCCTTGATGGCAAAATGGGGACCCGATGGGCTATGATCTGCAAGGTCAGCTGTTTGAAACTACCAGACGCACCATGGGAGAAAGGTGGGGCCTTCTACTCTCATAAAGAGTTACAGCCTCAGAAAGTCACAGGGGCAGTCTGCCCTGTCCTGTGGGGCCGCTGTGAGGTGGCATCAACTCGATGGCAGTGAATTGAGTTTTTCCGTCAGTGTGATGCTGTTGGGTAAGCATTGGACTTCAAACCAACCAACCACAAGGCCAGCAGTTCAAAGCCGCTCCATGGGAGAAAAATGAGGCTGCCTGCTCCCATGAAGATCTACAGCTTCAGAAACTCTACAGGGTGGCTTTTGAGTTGGAACCGACTGGGTGACACGGATAAACAATATGGTCCAACGTTTTAAGACCAAAATTGTTGACTTTGCAGCCGAGAGGGGATAGTTCATTACACAATGGGGCTGTATAATGCCCCTGAAGGTTTCTGGAGCACCCTACTGTCTCTTTCAGTCTCCCAATAATCCTTCACCGATGGGACTGTAGGTATGACCATATTCCTAATGATTAACAGATACATCTAGAGCCAGGTGATCAATGTGGAGAGAAAAAGACAGACGAGATGTTATCATGAGCCAAAGTCTAGCCTGAGTCTCTGAGGTGTCCGGTGGTGTGGTTGGTTATGAGTTGAGTTGCTAACCTCTAGGTCACCAGGTCCAGCCCCCAGTCATTCCAAGGGAGAAAGACCAGGCCATCTACTCCCAGAAAGAGTTACAGCCTCAGACACCCTGGGGAGCAACGCTACTCTACCCTCCAGGGTCGCTGTGAGTCCGCCTCAACTCAGTCGCAGTGGGTTTTGAGGGGCTTGACCGGAATCTCTAAAACAATCAAAGTGTCGCTTGGGTGACTAAGATTTGCCGAACTCAAGCAGCGGTCTCCAAATAATTTCATGTGCAAATGAAAGCTGAACCAATTTTTTTTTTTTTTTAAGAAAACCAACAAAGGATTGTTGTACTAAAAGGGTGTCATTGGTAAAGCACAGTGACTTCTGTGGAGTGTTGGAAGCATAAGGGGCCCTGGTGGAGGAGTGGGGTACACGGTGGGCTGCGTACAACAAGGTCAGCAGTTGGAGCCCATCCACCATGATGCTGAAGGAGAAAGAGGGGGTAGTCTACTCCCATAAAGATCTACAGCCTCCACTGGAGATCCCCTTGCAGAGGGGTCTTGGGGAGGAGATGAGCCAGACAGGGTGTGATGTAGCAACGATGAAAATGACAACTTTCCTCTAGTTCCTAAATGCTCTCCATCCCCCCACCCCCCATCATGATCCGAATTCTACCTTGCAAGTCTGGCTAGACCAGAGGATATCTGGAAACACAGGGAATCCAGCGCGGATGATCCCTTCAGGACCAGTGGTGTGAGTGGTGATACTGGGAGGAGATGAGCCAGTCAGGGAGCAGTGTAGCAAAGAGGAAAAATACAACTTTCCTCTAGTTCCTAAATGCTTCTGCCCCCTCCTCCCCACCACTATCATGTTCCAAATTCTACCTTGCAAGTCTGGCTAGACCAGAGGATGTACACTGGTACAGATAGGAACTGGAAACA